GCTGTGCCTGGCCAGGTAAGCGACTGACAGGTGTACCCGCGTGAGGAATGACGTCGACAAATTGATCATGAATTGACGGCAATTGTATCGTTGCTGCGAGATAATTATTACAACAACGCCCACTTTCGGTTGGTTTCTACAATGTACATGTATGATATAGATATACCGCTTGGCAAGGCAACATTATGATAGTATAATTAAGGTAAGGTAGTAAGGCTATAGGCTGACCTGCTCGGATCATTAGATATTTTTATCTTTTGTTTTCGTTTTCACATTTTTTGTTAGACTCAGACACATTAACACAGGGAACATTTTAAACATGAAAGGACAGCTTTTTGATTTGTTTGTGTTTTACAGCTATGGTCATTTAAGGACGTGGCAGGTTTTTGTGGTGGAGGAAAGACGGAGTTCCCGGAGAAAAACCACCGACCTTCGGCCAGGACCCAGTGGTGGAGGGCCTAGCGGTAGCAGAATGGCAGACGCCTTAACCACTTGACCACCGCGGTCCCGACAGGATAAATGCGTAGTGCATCAAAATTTATATAATGACAATAATCTGTTACTGGTTACAGGTAACCAGCGACAATGAACAGATTAATTCTACTTTTAAAGCCAAGAAAAATATTAATTGTAATTTATTGTATGTGATTTGCTGTTTATATCTGACCAAGAGGCTCTGCATCGACTGCGTTTTTACCTCTAGATCTGTAGGTACAACATACAACATGCATCTTGAATAATGTCATACATGTCTTGTGAAGACGGATATATATATTAACTATATACCAAAGGCCATATCTTCCGAACTCGTGTGTAAGAAACATTAATGTGATCAAAACACTGCTCTAGCTGTTTATCACTATCTAAATCAACGTGATAAAAATACAGGTCATTATACCATGCCACAAAGTCAGGATTTATAACCTGATATCATAACATAAGCACCATAATACTATAGACATTTTACTGTACTTTCACATCATCATCATCATCATCATCATCATCATCATTTATTCCTCATAAAAGAGAGTACAAGAGATATAAATTGAAATGAAAATAACTATAAAATCCACATGAATAACTTGGCGGTTAGGGAAAGTCACGACTGTTCGGCATTCCCTCGGTCTAATTGTTCATAGAATCTTTATGCTACACTGCATTAGCACAAAAATAGATCAGCGCAGTCTCTCGTAAATTCTTTAGTCAAGGTAATCTCCTCGAATTCAAAATCTGGAATTGTTTCTCTAAAAATTGCCTGAAGTAGGCATTCTTCTGTTAAGTTTGAGAGAGCTATATATGAATGAACATCGTAATAATCTATTACTTTTGTCATGAAAGTATCTCTCAAGATAAATGTACTATGACACTCTGTAATAAAATGCCTTATGGTATCAGGATACGATTTCCTACAAAGTTCAGGTTAATAACCTGAAATTATAACATTAACACCATAATATTTTAGACATTTTACTGTACTTTCACGACATTGTTGCACTGTCGTTGTTTTTAAAGCCAACATAATCACTGTCCGGTTCATAACTATTAACTTTTATCTTCGACATCACTTTCATTTTTCTCAAGACTTTAAAATGTCTTGAGCGTTTACAATCAAGAACAAAAAGTGTTGTTGTTTGGTAAAAGGAACAATGCTATTTTCTTCCGATGAAACCAGCTGCGTTGTGGCTATATATTCATGCCTTATATTTTCTTGTCCACATTTTAATAGATATATACACAAATGCCCGATCAGAAAACAGGCATATCCTATATAAAACTTCTCCATTATTGGAAGCAAAACATTAACATGTATACATAAAATATAGATATGTATCATATATATAAAACAATTGAAAATGAAATGATTATTGGTACATGTATTCAGTATATGGAGGAAGAATTTTACGACAAATTCATAACAATTGGTTTCCAGAGATCGGACTATTGACAAACTGTACGGTCGCCATCAGGATCTCATTTGTAAATATGTTTATTTCCTTGTGGAATAAGAGGGTCCATGCTTTTGACAGACAAATGTACATTTAATGTGTAGTATATACGTTTCTCCGACAACCACTGTAGGTTTCCTCTCTCATGACTCATTGGATAAACATTCATTGGTCAACCTTTGATTGATAACGTCACGTAATAATATTTACATTTCCACTGCACAGAGCCTAACGTCACACTACAACAATTGGTACACGGTCAGAAAATTGTTCGAATAGTACTTTAAAATTCAATTTGAGCATTTGCCTTTGACAGTATGACAAAAGAGATATTCATCGGCATTTCTGCCGAATAGTTTTGTTTTCATGAACATTTTAAGAGTAAAGTAAACATATCAGAAAACCAGTAAATCGACGTACGTCGATGATGTTTTGGAGGATTTTCAAGGGGTTAAATATAAGCATGTTTAAATGTTGATTTCTGGTCCTTATAACCGGATAATATAAAAGTGAATATATACAATTATAGTTCAGTATGGTAAAGCATAATTCAATATGTAGGTAAGCCAATGTATGTAACACACCAATGCATGTCAAAAATATGACAACCAATCCTTAAATGCTTTTCGACGTCATTTTCCATTGTGACGTCATGCTCCGTGACAATTGTTTTCCCCATCGGAAACACAAATGATGTATTTTCTAAGGGAGTTATGTGGTTTTCAGATAAAAAAAACCCGAACGTTATGAGAGAAACAAGTCCCCAAACTCGTGAGGATTAGTTATCACGTTTATCTAACTCTCGTTAGTTAATTTTCAAATTATGTAAGACACTCGGTAAACTTCGTGTCTTTATACAATTTGAAGATTAACTTACTCGAGTTAGATAAACATGATAACCAACCACCACTCGTTGGGTAACCTCTATCTCTGCTTTTGATAATGATTCTTGAGTGTATTTTGATCTGCAGTTGTTACCACTCCACTTCACTCTTTGAGGACGTTACATTATTCGGATTTGATCTAGATCTACAGAGCAGATGAAAAAGATGCTACCCTTCCGGAACACCTGGATCTGTATTCATGAAGCCGTTCTCATGCTCAAGCAGAGATTCTGTGCTCAAACCGACTTTCTTGTAACTCCCTAAAATCATGTAACAGTCAATAAGTCAAGTGCAAACAATGAAAACAGTATTCTGCTGAAAGTCTCTCCAAATTTCTTACATAACATTGACAAAATCTTTTTTTTTTTTTTATAAATTTATCACAGGCACAAGAAATGGGCTTCAGCACAGAATCCGTATTTTATCATGAGAACAGTCTCATGAATAAGGGCCCTGGTCTTATTACCCTTGTTTTTTCACATGTATCCATGTGAATCCTTCCATTATTCTTATTTTGACCTGATTTTATCAAATTTTGCGTGTGAATTATGATTTTGTGGATATATATTAGATAAGAAATAATCACTATAAATACAAAGCGTTCATGTTACATTAAAAATCTATTCAGTCGTTCAACAGATCAGAGCAGCTACATGTACAATGTAACACACTTACACATTACACAGTCAGATCTTACACTCACAACCTACACTTAACACACATACAACTACACTAAATATATTATATCATCAAACAGATCAAATCACTGCACACATTTGAAATCATTATAATTTATTATCTGTAATGTGCAAATAGATAAATAATGTTATAGACATTAATTGTAGTCAACATTAATTACCGGTATAATATTTCTGAATCCTTGATTTTCACAACATTTTATAACATATAACAGTGGGTAAATCAATACCTCCTGATGTTAAAAGAGTAAGATTAATATCTTAAATCTGGCTCTATGTTACCTGAAATATTGGGAACATGAAATATTGAGAACCTGAATAATTAGGACAGTGGAAAAGAAATATTAAGTTCTGGCTGTATGCTCCCCAGGAAGTTCAGAAAGATATTGGCTGGTTGCAAAGGCCCTATAACCACGGATAATAATTTGTGAACCTCTTAGAGACGACCTACGAACTAGATTGTGATAAAGCGGTATACAAGAACCTCAAATTATTAGTATTATTATTAGATAGTCAAATGTTTTTGATAGTTATAACAAAAATAGTATAGTTATTGTACTAGAATTATTCCTTTTCTGATAAAAAGTAACTTCATAATCTATAAGGATACATTTTCTAAATATATGGGTTATAATCAACAGTTAGGGCTTTTGTATTATTTATCTAAGTTTTACGAGGGATCAAGAGATTGGAAATCATCATAACATCTGGTAAGAAACTACCATTAAATGAACTAGTTCTAGCTTCATAAATATTGTAGAATCTTGGGTGCCTGAGATTACGGAAGTGTAACCTGAAACTGCTATCCCATATCATGATATGGTTACATGTATACTAAGTACAGTGGAAAACGGTGTGCATTCAGATTGGATTAAAGGCGAGATATATAAATACATTTTCTGAGAAATTTAATTTAGAAGAAATCTCAAATTAGACATCTGAGATGAACAAATACATTTTCTGAGAAATTCAATTTGGAAGAAATCACAAATAAGACATCAACAATGTAAACTTTTCTGGTATAGCATTACTGAAACCTAATGTAAAATTTACCGATACACAGTGTAACACTATTGTTATATAATGTAATATCACTGAAACATTATGTAACATGACTTATACAAAATGTAATATTACTGAAACATAATGTAACACTACTGATACCTAATGTACACTGTAGCATCACTGATATAAAATGTGACATTATGAATACATAATGTGACATTACCGATACCCAATGTAGCATCACTGATAAAAAAGGTGACATTATGGATACATAATGTGACATTACTGATACCTAATGTAGCATCACTGATAAAAATGTGACATTACTGATACCTAATGTAGCATCACTGATAAAAAATGTGACATTATGGATACATCATGTGACATTATGGATACATAATGTGACATTACCGATCCCTAATGTAGCATCACTGATAAAAAATGTGACATTATGGATCCATAATGTGACATTATGGATACATAATTAGACATTACCGATACCTAATCTAGCAGCACTGATAAAAAATGTGACGTTATGGATACATAATGTGACATTACTGATACCTAATGTGGCATCACTGATAATAATGTGACATTATGGTTACATAATGTGACATTACCGATACCTAATGTAGCAGCACTGATAAAAAATGTGACATTATGGATACATAATCTGACATTACCGATACCTAATGTAGCAGCACTGATAATAATGTGACATTATGGATACATAATTAGACATTACCGATACCTAATCTAGCAGCACTGATAAAAAATGTGACATTATGGATACATAATGTGACATGACTGTTACATGATTTTCAATTACTTATACATAATGTATCATCTAACAATTACATGATGATGATAATGATACAATATACAGCGTTACTGTATATAAAATTAACCTGTTGGTGATATCAAAAGTTCAGGGTTCTGTTAACTTTTTCAGGAATGAAGCACTGCATTAATCCATCACTTGGAGACAGACATTCGACCATATTTGCTATACTTCCAGATAGCAGTAGCTTGTATACTCAGTTATACTTGGAAGCCCTTTTTTCGTACAATGTGTCAAGAGAATTTTGGTTATATATGTTATACGAATCAAATGTTATTTGTGTTGAACCACTTTCCTATTGTATACAGACCATGGATAGTAATTTTCTAGTTTACTTTATGCCATTTCCTCAATAATCATACAAAAACCCTATCAGGCCGTTCTAGTGAGCTATCTAGAACCTTCTGAAATTATTCCAAGTACTGCTGTTGAAAACACTCAACACAACAATACCATGACTAGAAGTACAGTTCACAAGATCCATGCATTATAATCAAGTGATTAAATGCCCATGGTAAAGTATTGACGACAATTCAAACATTTGTCTACGTCTGTGTGTTCTTATTGGGTTTACATCCTTGTTGCTGTCCATTCCTCAAAGAAAATGGGACTCGGTCCCAGCCGTGGCTCCATTACTGTTTTTTAATGGAATGAAGAGTTACTCAGAAATTGAATTCAACATCATGTAGCATTACTAATGATGGGACATAGATAGTCAACATGAACATCATCAGGCCCCAGTTTCAAAAACATTCCTTAACTTATATTTCACTAAAAATCATTTCTTGTCTTAAGGAAAATATTCCATGCAAGATAAGGACATGTTCCTGAACACTAGCAATGCTTTCTATGGAAAAACCTAAGGGATTATAGGTAAAACAGGGTCTGATGGCTGCATGTATGGTGTTATTTCCATGAAATGGTAAGTATTTTACACAATACAGGAGTCAAATTCAAACAATACAAAACTACAGTTGTGTGGATGGAATAAACCTGTTAAGCTAAACAGAGTCTGTCTGGTTAGGAAATAACACACTTATAAGCACTGTCTTCAGCGCTCTCCTTAAGCGGCTTCAGCCATAACTTTGGTTTAGCATGCGTAATGTCTTCACCACCATAACTTTCACTATATCGTTCAAAATGGTTGCTAAGGTAAGGCTTGTCATGTTCTGGATGGGTTGGCTTCAAGTCGTCTACAACACCGACTGTGGCTGGGCTGTTGGTTAACATACCGGTATACCAGCCCATTGGTGCATGTGTTCGGTATTCCCAGACATCATTTTTCTGAACACTCTCTAAACGCTTTTGGCGCTTGGTATCTTCCGTCTTCAACAGGTGTTCCTTAAAACCAAGACACAATATTACTGATGTCATGCAGAAAACATAGTTTCATGTGCAATAATTGATTAGCTATTTAAAAAGAACAACTCAGATAATTGATAATTTTGGTATTACAGTGTACTTGAATAATGTCTGATCAATTTTTTATGACAGAAACTTTTTTTTTCTTCTCTGAAGTAGCAATTAGAAAAATGTGCAAAAACAAGTTTTTTTAAGAAAATAAAAAAAACCTGTCAACATGGAGATTTAAAACTACAAGGAAAGTAACTTTTTCATCATTTTTAGAAATATATATTAACATAAATTTGTAAACAATTGCAATACTCAACATAAAATAAAACAGTATCAGTTGAAATAGCAAACTTGAAATTGTTAGTTCATAAAATATTGCAATGATATTCAAACACCCATCAAAAGTGAAGATAAAACCCACGAGTATGATGTGATAGCCTGACCCTCGGGTTTACCAGATTATGGCATTACACGTGTTTATACTAGTGCTGGTAAAGTTATTTTAGGGGGAAACATTCCCAAGAACAAATCACTATGTTTAATCAAAAGTTTTACTGGAAACAGATGAGGAACAACAATGAATTATTTCATATAGTAGATCAGCAAACATGTACAGTGGAACAACCAAACGGTTCTCTTGTTATAAATTACTCTAAAAATACTTCCCTCCGATAAGAGTCAGCCTAACTTTGTTTTGTCCATCACCCAAATCAGTGCAGTTCTTTGCATACAAATTTCTGAATGGTAAATTCAATGAAAAGGGAGAAAATAAAATTGATGTTCAGGACAGTGATTGTTTTTGTCTTTTGTAAAATATTTCTACACCCTATCTATGGTACAATATTTCTACACCCTATCTATGGTACAATGTTTCTACACCCTATCTATGGTACAATATTTCTACACCCTATCTATGGTAAAATGTTTCAGTACAACGCTCTTCTTACATATGCCTCCACATTGTCTTTTGTAGCAAGCTCCTCACACATTTCTTGGTCCTTCTTCATTGGAGCACAATCATCTTGTGCCACTCCATCCCAGTACCGATAGTAATATTTAGTTTTCCAGCCTGTTAGAATAGACAGTCAATATTTACCAGTCTTATTTCATCACCGATCAACAGTAAGGATATCTCAAAAGTTTTAAAATTTATTGCTGAACACTTTCTCCTATCCCTGACCAGCCAATTGTCCAGATGATAACAAGAGGTGTAAGAAAACAAGAAAATACATTTTTTGTACATAAACATTTCTAGTTACAAAAACAATATTTAAACGTTGTGACAATTAAAACAATGCAAACAAGGTTACTGCATTAATATATCAATCATATTTTATAAATAATTTAAAGCAATTACAATTAGTAATGGAATAGTCATCTCAAGAATATTGATTCAAACACATCTAATAAACAATGTATTGATGTCATTGTTATTTTTGTTATTAAGATTATGTAAACAATTGTTTTGAAGTATTATCACCAAATATATGTATACCACAGTTTGGTAGCATCATACCATAAGACACTTTACAATGTGTAACTTATGTTAAATATTTACCCCCCCCCCCCCCCCCCCCCTCCTAGGCTTTGTAAATGGTTTCATACAAATCTATTCATTGCATAAATTAAATATAGTTTTTTAACAAATTATAATGTTACCAAGGTTCAAGTTTTCTAACAGATCATGATACTCCAGTAAATGGTATTTTCACAGAAAAAAATACCTTAATTCACCGTTTTGTAACAGTAAGTGTGCAATTCATACAAATTCATGTTTTTGTGATACATGTATACCTTTTAAAAGTGAGTGTTGTTGAACTTTAAAAAGATAATAGGGTTTTATTAACCTTTAAAAGCAATTGTGTTTAAATATTTTCCTCACCTATACAATCCTTGTAGACCATACTGTAATAACTACAGGGCATTATCTGTAATGATAAACAACATATCTTATACATTTGTACTACAGGTCCATGTCATGTACTCTTATCATTTTAATAATGATCTTATCAACCAATATTAAATTATGTGAAACATTGTATTTGTTTGTACATGATATACACGTTATAACATATGGTAGTTTCAAATAGTTGTGAAAATATTTCTTTTTAATATCATTCAGTCATAAATATGCTTTTGATATGTATAGAGTCAGAATTTCTTCTATAATGCCAACTCCAGTGATCTATCAATGTTTTCTCAATTTTCTTATTTCAATACACACTACAAGATCAACACCTAGAGCACAGAGGGTTGTTACACATGTCTGAAGTACCTGTACATATGCTATACTGATATGGGTCACAACACATAAACATCAGTATAGCATATATGAGTATTTCAGACATTTGTAACGAACCCCTGTGCCTAGAGTATCGCCTAGAAGTACAATCCACCTACATTGTACTAAATTAATGCACATGTAACTTCTCTACAGTCTTGGAATACATCATGGCAAATCGAGGCCATGCAACCAATGCTTATAATAATCATAAGGTGAAGCCTATTTCAATAATCAAAGTGAAATTGAAATATTTTGTTAAGCAATCAACTTTAATTAGCACTGCTAGTTGTTCTGTCAACTTATATAACGTACCGAAAAGTAGAGGGACACTATATATATATATTTCCACATTGTCTTCTGTGGCCACCAAAAATATATCTTTCAAAGACAAGAATGTATGGAAGTATGTTCTTGGAGCTATAAAACGCAAAGTTAAATATATAGCCCTATGTTGTTCGATAGAAGAGGCATTAACGTAATTTCCTCACCACTACATCTATCTATCTATTCTGCAACACCCTCTTTCAAGTATTATGTGCAGCCTGCGCGTCTGTGCATGTTAAAAGGTATTGTGTGGTGACCGAGATAAAAATGATAAAGTGCAGACTGGTGCATGCATAAGGGAGAGAGAGAGGAAAGAAAGAAAAGTGTGATGAGAGAGTATTTGGTGCTAAGAAATGTCTATAAGTTTATAGACCCGCTACTGCCCATACAAGGGCATATTTTATGGAACCTCTACGGATGTTGATAGCTCCTGTTGTGCAAAAAAGCAGATCTATTATGGACTTTGGGTCGGGGTGTGAAGGAGGGGTGGGGG